AAAGGTAAACGTCCATATCCTAACTATAGATTCCGCTGCGTTAGGATTTATTTCGATAAAGTTCAATACTGTGCATGTTGTTTGACGTTCCTAACAGAACCCAACACCCAATCCAAAGTTCCAAAGACCCCAAAGTCATAAATCATAAATCCAAAGTCGTAAATGCATAAATAAACATAAATAGTCTAGCATGCGGAATGAACTAAATGAGGTCAGTCAAAGACCAATATCACTCGTCTTTGTCTCGTCAGCCAACACCTGCTTAACCTGCATTCATGAAGAGCAGGTGGGAGTGAGCACGGTGAACTGTAGTGCTCACTATTATGCACATGAACAATAACAAAGTACGAGAAATTAAATGGCATGGTCGTTGTATGAACATAGTCAATAAATATCCCATCTCCTAACCAAAGTAATTCTTATGTGCACACCTATAACAATAGACTGTTGTTCGTATGCCTTTCCGCGAACATAAATGGGGTGCCCAAATAGTAGGAGGCTCAACCGTCACAGCACGCACCTAGTGCTTGGACAGGATATCCATCACCGGCCAGGGCACATTGCCAAGGTCTTACAGATGACGTGGTCCTTAGCAAAGGACAAACGTGGAGATTACCCTTGTGGGGTACGTTCTATAGCTACGGGATAACCGTTCGATGGCCGGTACAGCTCACATTGAAGATTACATGCTCACATGCATACATTGATCATACCCACATAAATAAAGCAATTATCATTCACGGCAGAAACATATTTTGAATAAACCACCTGAGAATCGAGTAGGTAATAGCACACAAACTGAAGAACGTAGGTCGAGGGCTCAACTCCTCAAACCTAAAATTAGGGATTTAATTATTATTATTAGGGGTTTTAATTGAAAAATTGATCAACACATAAAACACGTCGGGCACATATATCAGATAAGAGCACATAATGCGACCAAGTTAAACAAATATAAATCAGATTATTCAACCAAAATAAGCAATTAAAGTAGCATACTTTTCTATCTCTTTTATCTTAACTCATTAAAGAAAATATACTATTTCAACATATATATATATCACATAAACAAACTCAATATAAAATAGACCTTATGAACTAATTCAATAATCTGAAACAAAACATACATAAGCTCAGCAAAAAGAATTCACATAAAAGTCTCATCAACTTAACCAATTCGCATGATCCAAACATGCAACAAATATGCCTCCTTCTATCTTTTTTTTTAAAAAAATAAAAATAAAAATTTAAGCCACACATAATAAGGCATTAAGAACTTCATGCAAGGCTCTAAAAATTATTTATTATAGGCATGATCAAGATCTACAACAAAATTAGAAACATTCATATGTCGAAGATTTCTCAGTATACATGCCTCAATTCCTTTCATTTCTCTCCAATTGAATAACACATGATAAAAGGCTTAAAAGATAACTAGAATAAAAGCTCTAAGTTTACTCAATTTCCAGCATGATAGATACATCACATAAGGTTCAGCACATGGCTACCATAAGGTTCAAATGAGCACATAAACATATCTCATTTCTCTTTCCAAATTTACATAAGCATATAACTTAGGTTGAAAATTAGTACCTCAATACATGTTTTCTGCTCAAAATATTTAACATACAAACAGTGTAGATATTACCATGCTACAGCCCAACACAAAAGAAAAAAAAAAATAATCCAAGGCAAACACTACCTAGTTCAAGCATTTCTGTCCTTCCATAGTCAAATAGCAAAGTCTTAGCACATGAAATAGGCATCATAGCTTAGTATTTAACCTCTAAAATGCCCAAAGAATCAGCAGTGAATAGACCACATAATCAAGGATAAACATATTCAATCTTATCAAGGCTTTAACATGATCATATTTACCTTGAACTTAACCAATCATACCAATAATTTTGGGCTGAAAATAACATTCTAAACACTAATTTCCAGCACCAAATCTTTATCACAAATGGAGTATGTAGATTCATATAATCTCGGCCACAAGCAAACATGACAAACACCTCATATACTCCAGCAAAACAAAAGGCATAAGTATCAGCCATCTACCTTCCTCAGGACTAGAAACGGGAAGAATAGGTTCTGTGACGACTAAAGCTCTCGGCTAGTTCTCGGCTCTCAGAGACGGCTTGGCTTGTTGGTGCCCTCAGTCCAAATGTCACTTGATCGGTTCGGTAGCCACCGGAAGCCCGATGGCCCTCGATTTCTTATTCGTTCGTCGACGACACCCTTGGTGATGGAGACGAGGCCGCGTTGATGTTCTTGCAGAAATATGACCGTTTGCGTGTCTAGCACATTTATTTTATTGCTTTATTTTCCTTTTGGGTCTATTTTATCTTTAGTGGTTGCAATTGTGTTATTTTATTAGTATGGGGGTGTTTCTTTAATTATTAGGATTTATCGTGCTTTAGTGGAGTTAGTGGAAACTCCTTATTTATGTACTGCGAACAGAAGAGAAAAGACAGTTCATCGATTGAATAAAAAATATCTGTTCTCTCTTTAGATTGTTCTTTCCCTTTCGTATACATCCTCTACATCAGTTGGTATCAGCAGACCAGCCGACGATCCACGATGCCGCCGAAGAAGGACAAAGTCGTGATCGATAACTCCGTTGATGAACGATTCCAGAGAATTGATGATCGATTTAACGGTTTTGATGAACGATTTGTGGATCTTTCGACGGGATTCGAGGAACTACGACTGACGATGCACACCATGATGGACGAGATGCGTCGAAATCGTGACGTGGCTGACCGGGGCACTCGCGAGGGACACCGCGGTGGTGGAGGAGGTCGGGGTTTTGGCGCGGCGCCCCGCCGCCGATCACCACCACCACCGCCTACCGGTGATGACTCCGATGACACTTGGACAGTGGAGAACCCTTTCGCGGACGGAATCAACGCGCAGGCCCGAGCTCCTGGGTTCGGATTTCGCGATGGTGGACTAGGGTTTCATGGGACTGGTGCCGGCGGGACTGGTTTCGCGCAGGGGGGCGCGACGGAGGAGGACGACGCCTGCGGGGTCCATGGCGGGCTGGGGCTGAGCAGGTAGATGAGCGCGCATTCCGACAGGAAGGGCTCCAGTCCGATGATGAGGCGTTTGAGGAGGATTTCGGCGAGTTTCGCTGCGGTCGTGGGCCTCGGGCAGGAGCAGATTTCTGGCGCGGCGGTCGATTTGGTTATGGTGCAGGGGCGGATGAGACGTGGCAGCAGCGGTGTAATATCCCATTCAGTTATTAGTAAAAAGTATCAGTTAATTTCCAAGAT